AAAAGATGAAATATTGCCATTTGCGACAACATGGGTGGATCTTGAGATTATTAGGCTAAGCCAAATAAATCAGACAGAAAAAGTTGAGAACCATATGACTTCAGTCATATGTGGGATATAAAACTGAAAGTAACAAAGGAACAAGACAAATAGAAAAACAAAAACTCATAGCCACATTTTCTTAAACAGTTATATTCACCCTCCTCACATGCATTTTCAACATCAGCGTCTGAGTTGTCACCAGAGAAACTTTTTGAGCAGATTGGAAGACATTCATTTTCACTTTCATCTCAGTGCCTCAAAATGCAGCACTTGTTAAATTCTAATTTGATACTGTTACATGTTACTGGAAATTATCCAAAGCCCTAAATTCTCTTTCATGTAACATTAGAAAAATTGTTTGTTCTTTTCATTTGTCCTTTAGATGTGTATCAAGGATAAAAAATATAGCCATTTATTAGTTCTGTTTGTTTTTAAAGTGCTTTTAAAAAGCTGTTAACAAGACTTTCAGAACTTCCAAATATGAAGTTGTATCCCAAGCGATAATTCCTAAATTTCTTTACCTTGTGTTTCGACTGATTTGGCTGGGTGACCTCCAGAAGCTTCCAAAACTGGTATTCAATAAGGCCTATTTCCAACTAATGCATTTGCCTGAAAATTTTGTTTTTCAAAATACAGTAATTGAGAGGCGCTCTGAAATAGACTTCACAAGGGTTCTGATCTAAAGCAAATCACTCTTTCCTGAGGAATAATTTTGAGGGAAGACCTGACCTTACACTGGGGCAGGCATGATAGGTGCAAGAGAGTCAGCAAAGGTAAGGAAGCCGAAAGGCATATCAAGTGCAAAACAACTTAGGAGAAAGTTTAACTGAGTGGAAGCAGGGTTCATGGTATATCAGCTCCCTAAAGCTCTAGATATAGAGGGTGGAAGGTTGAGAAAAGAAAGGAGAGAAACTGAGAATAGCAGCCATCATCCCTGGTTTGTGGGTCTCCCAAATTGATTTACTTCCCCTTTTTTAACCTCAACTCCCCAATCTCATCTCTCTCAAATTAACCTCAGCTTTTTTAATTGCCAGTCTCCACCCATAAGCTAATGTAAAGGTGACCCCTTAAAAGGTCCCTCCCTGCCTATTGAACCGTGTCTTGTGAACTCTGATTTCCCTCTCACCTCCCCTCTGGTTCACTCATTACCTACACATTTTTATAAAAGTAATTTAGGAGAAGGTCCACGCCAGCCTCTGATATCCTGTGCCTTGTGGAATTTCTCTAGTCTAGGCCCCTTATCTCCTCTCCCGTAAGTGTCTGTTCTGCCTGTCCTTTCTGTTATGAGACTCTGCCAGGTCCAAGATTTATGCGGCACCATCAGCAGCTAACAGCTCACCACCTCTGTGGACTCATTCCTGTATGCAGCCTCAATTCAGAGCCCTGACTTATCTGCTGGACCAGAAAGAATTCAGAAACCAGGAACAGTGACATATAAATTATGTTATACCAAGCGGGATATGTGATTAAAACTGCTGTAAAGATATCATCAAAGACAATTGCTCACAGGTAATAATGGCAAAAAATGTCACTTGTTACTTCCAGCATTCTAACTGCAGCAGCTGGTTAACTGCTGTCCTTGCAATGGCCCAATGACCGATAGACACATTAAGTGTGGTCCTAGCTAGCTCTGCACCTCAGAGATGAGGAGTTACAGCTCCAGGCAGTGGAAAGAACAAGCAGGTGCTCACGGCGCAAAGGAGAGACAGGTGAAAGTGACCCCTACACAGTGCCAGGTTAAGATATACAGTAGCCCTAAGGATGAAAATGTATATTGCCCTTCCTACATGTAATACTAAATTAAATGGCAAGTTTATCTGTGGTGGGTTAACTGTTCTCAAAGATATGTCCATATCCTAATACTTGGAACCTATTAATGTTGCATTATTTGGAAAAAGAGTCTTTGCAGATATGAGTAAGGATGTTGAGATGAGGTTGATTATCCTGGATTATCTGGATAGACCCTAAATATCATCACAAGTGTCTATAAGAAAGAGAGAAAAAGAGAGATTAGACACACACAGAGGAGAAAGAAAAGTAAAGTTGGAGACAGAGATTGGAATGCTGTGGCTTCAAATTAATGAATATTGGCAGTCACCAGAATTTGGAAGAGTCAAGGAACTGGTTCTACCCTGAGCCGTCAGGGAGAGCAAGGCCCTGCCAACACCATGATTGCAGATTTCTGGCCTTTAGAACTGTGAAAGTATAAGATTATGTCATTCTAAGCCACCAAGTGCATGGTCATTTGCTATAGCAGCAATAGGAAACTAATACACTAACCCATGAAATATAAAACAGTCCAATAAAAAATGCTGGATTTTTTTTCCTCCATAGTTCAACTCCTTCATTGATGTTTTTGTGAATATTAACTCTAAAATTTTATCTACGTTAATTGTTACATTAGGGAGAAGTTTACTGAACAATTTAAAATATGGCCTAGTAGTCTAAAGTATTTCTAGGTTTCAGCACTATATTTGAAAAGGCATGATAATGTTGTGGATGAGGTGGATGTAATCAGAAATAGTTAGTATCAAATTTGAGTGAATTTGTAAGGGAATAAACGATTGTAACACAAGGTACTGATAAACAATTTTTGATGAACCTGCAGTGCAGCTTTCTGTGCTTTGCTGCAGAGCATTGTCAACTCTATTCTGTGCAATGTTTTTATCACAGATTAGGATGATGACATTACATGCTGATCTAGTCAGTAGATGACAGGGAGCTGCTGTGCTATAGAGAAGAAAAAAAAGCTCTTGACAGGATGAAATGATTAAGTCGAATCTAAAAAGATATAACTTAATATAGGCAAATTAAAAAGTTTATAACTTAGATTTCACAACTTAACTACATAGATACAGAATAGGGAAAAACTGCTATAAACTCAGTACATGGTAATAATAATAAAAAATGACATTAAATGCTACGTGTGTCGAGTGTTTGATAGATAGACTCATAGACAGATGATAGTTACATAGAAAGATAAGATAGATAGATGATAGGTAGGTAGATAGATAGATAGATAGATAGATAGATAGATAGATAGATGATAGATAGATATTTTCTCACAAATTTTGTAGGGTACATTCAAAACCCCTTACACAATATGCAGGTCCTAGTGCCAAATAAAAATGCAGAGCCAATGCTTAAAAACTAAGAATTTTAAAACAGTAGGAGCAGAGCAACTACAGGATATAGATATATTAGTGCAATGCTATTTTAACTGATTCCATCACTGTATATTTATCAAATGCCCAGAGAAAGATAATAAGAATACCAGCAGCAGTCTGGAAATACCCTAACAAGCTAAACTTACTTGCATTATGAAACAGCTACTTTAAGATATAAAACAAAAATATCAAATTTTGCTCAGACAGGAAATGAGACAAATAACTGGATGTGGGAATGGTCACTGGTTTTGAACACTTCAGTGGGCAAGAGTAATTTTTCTAATCCTAACTCTTCTAAGACATCTCTCTGCAGTTTCCAACACTATGCAAGTTTTTACCACCAGTCACATGGTACAAAGTGTTCACTGAATTCATTCAACAGGAAGGTCATTAGTGACTATTTTGAAACCATTATCAATAGGATAATATGGACTGAGGCAGGTTGCAGTAAGCCAAACATGGCAGGCTGTAAGAAAGAGGAGACAGGAATTGCAGATTACTCTTATGAACATTTACTGTAAATACAGGGGATGGGCAATAGTTATAATTAGTTGTTGTTCAAAGGGTTTTGGTTTCTTAGTTTGAAGAGGGGAAGATTTGAGCATATAGTATTTACATGTTTAAGGAAAAGAGGCACTATAGAGAGGTTAACAAGGAGAGGGTGCCATCTGTGAAGGTCTCTGAAGAGGATTCTAGGAGGAAAATGGCCTGAGAACAGAAGTGGAGAGATTTATTTCAGACAAGAGGAGGGGCAACAACTTTTTCCATTGCAAACAGGATTACAGGGAGAAGGATAATGTGGATACAAACAGGTGGTAGCTTATAGGTGGCAAGGAACTGTGGTAGCTCCAGGCTGGGCTTTGAAAAGCAATTGGTGGCATAGCACTGTGATTAAAGCCACAGGCTCTGAACAGAGGCCAACTGTGTGGATTTAAATCCCAGCTCACCCTCTAGCTGTATAACCTCGGACAAGTTATTTAACATATCAGTGCCTTGTTTCCCAGATAATAATAATCACTCCCTCACCCTCCTGAGTTGTTGTAGGGAGCTGATGAGCTAATATATAAATTCATCTAACAGTGTTGAGCTATATGTGCTAGCCATTAGCAGCACGTGGAGCAAGAGTTGTCCTGCTTCTGCTGAAAGTGACTGGGGGCTGCTGGGTGCAGAGATTTTAGTATGGTGAAAACAGTTTGAAGGGAATGAGGCAGAGTGAAAAAAAAAAAAAAAAGCTGGTGCAACATAAAAACAAGGGGCAAGCGCTGGGGAAGACACAGTTTAAGTTGAAGATCAGGGCTATATATTGAAGCAATCTTCAAGTTTTTCCCTCCTTCAGCCCAGGGCGAAGGCCTATAGTTGGATGGATCCAACTGGGAGCTGTGAGGGAACAACAATGAGATGATGGAATTGAAAACCCTGACAAAAGACTGAAGTGAGGGACCATGGAAGCTAAGTTTAAATATGTTAATACGTGAGGGGGGCTCTATGGAGAGACAGCAGAGAGATGAGGAGAAAACAGATGGAAAATTGACATCATTGGTTGTCTGAGCAAGAGAGCTGGATGGATAGGGGGTCGTGGTAACCATCCCTAATTCCACAGATGCTCTCCAGGCAGCTAGGGATTCCACTTCCCCTGCATTGGAATTGCAAGACAGTTAAAGGCTAGGGCGGGGCAAGGATAAAGAAAATTGTGATGTCACAGGGCGGGGCTCCCCAGTGGTGGGTGGCGCCCTCATGATTACTTGGTGGGGATCAGGCAGTGAGCGCCGGGGCGCTCTGAGGCTCCGAAGCATGTGCCTGCGCTGTACAGGGGACGAAACTACCCAAGTCAACCCCGTGAGTTCTTCGGCCTTAACCGTGCCTGGCCTCCCCTGCCCCTGGCCTCGAGCTTGGAGGACACACAGCCGCTGGCGCTTCCGGCCATTGCACACGCAGTTAATTTGGTGCTAGGGATTGGGAAATCCTGGGTGAAGTCAACAGACTGGGCCAGACACATTCAATCATCTGTTGATTGACCCATTCAGCTGCCCCAGATGGTGGGGCAGGGGTTGCAGAGGTGGGGGAGAGGATAAACTTCTCAATATTCAGGTGGGGAGGAGACTGATGTTGGGTGTTTGGGTTAAACACCTGGGTCAAAATGATGGGAGGAGGAAGTATGTGGTACAATTTAAAGTTGGGGGAGGAGTGGAACCCCATAAACTATCAGCCAATCTCCCTGTGCCTCAGAAAACCATATACCACCTGGGGTTTCTCAATCACCTCAGCTTTCCCAGGCTTTAGAAGCCAGTCTAAGACCAGTTCCTTTAGGGAAGAGCAGTATGACACCGTGAAGTCATGTACCAACAGAAACATGACTGTTTGGATTTATTGTACACCCTTTTCTTCCAGAATAAATCTCTGTACTCAATGCTGTTCCTGTGTTGTCCAATAATAATTAGTAATAATAATAATAATAATAATAAACCAGCCAATTATTTTACCAGCAAAATGGGTTTATTTGGGAATAGCCGAGAATGGCAATTCTGGACAAGCCTGCTATAGCAAAAACTACAGGTAAATCTAACATGCAAACAAGAGGAACTTCATAGAGAAAAAGGAAGAAATTGGGAGGGGTTGTTTTGAAGGAAAATCCATTGGAGGAAAGTGAGCAAGTTCAGGGTGGTGGTGGTTTCTCATTGGCCAAGTTGCTGGACAAGAAGGAAATCTTCCTTCCTCCTGCTGGAATGGTAAAGTAGTATCAACTTGAAAGGTAAGTCTCTTCTGGCTTGGGTCCATCATTGACAGTTCTTCCTGATAGGCTCTGATGTCAAGTGGTAGAGCATAAGGGCTCCCTCTTCTGGCCTCCCAACGCCATTTTAAATGAGGTTTCCCTTTATGAAGTCTCACACCTGTAATGCGGTACATCGCTGGTGTTTTCTTCCTATAATCCTGTCGCCAATCTCTACCCTGATTTTTACCTTGATCGTCTTCTGATCCTGCCTCTTGCAGTTGAGATAATATGTATGTTACATAAACAAAAAACAGTAGCATGGGCTTCCTGTTATACAGAATAATCTTTCTGTTTCCTCATGACTTTCGTGTGTGTTCTTTAAAATTATTTTACATATTTTGTAGGAAGGACCACGACGGGCTCGTCCTTCGGAAGTCACTGAAGGGCAGGTAACGTTTAAATAAGTAATTATGGGAACAATAAAAACATTTTTTAAAAAAGTAAATAAATAATTATGGGTATTTCAAAACTGTGACTTGATCATGTACCTTTATGTGTAGTCGTCCCTAATATGATAAAACTTTTATTAGCGAGACACTTCTGCAGTATCTTTCCTGGGACTCTGGGATCTTGTGATGACTATTAAAGTGAGTCTTAACTAGGATAACCTAAATGGCTTATATTATCATTTTTAAAGTAACATTTGACATATACACAAGAATATATGTAAACTATCTAATTTGTAAAACAGAGTAATACAATATACCTCCAACTTAAGAAAACATTATCGGTATCCTTGAGCTCATCTAGGGGCTGCTTCTCCATTCTGCCTCCCCACATCTCTCCTAGAGGTAACAACTATCTTGGATTTTATTTTTATCAATCTCAATTTTTTAAATAGTTTGTCACATAACGTGCCTCTAAAAGTACACTGTTTGAATTTGGTTGGTTTTGAACTTTATAAGCACACTATCACACAACATTTCGTGTATACTTTATTCTTTCTTCGCAATGAATCCTAAGTCTCGTACATATTGTTGTAGAGTTATAGCTCCTTTCTTTTCACTACTGTTTAATATTCCCTTGTGGAACATATCTCAGTTCATTAATCCTTTCTCCTGTTGATGAACAGTGAGTAGTTTACAAATATCTTGGAATGAGCAGTGCTACTGTGAACATTCTAATACTTGTCTTTTTGTCCATGAACAAGAGTTTCACTTGATCATTTCGGCAGGGGTAGACTGGCTGGATCATAGGGAAAGCAAATTTTTCATTGTTATAAAGTAATACCACATTGTTTTTTACAAAATTGTACCAATTGTACTCCCTATGACAGTGGATAAAAGTTCCTATTATTCCTATCCTCTCTACCCTTAATACTCTATTTCACTATCTTCAAAGCATTCTATTCGATCCCCTAGGTCTCTGCTACTTATAGGTGCCATACAATGGGTACATTAAAAAAAAGCTCTGTGATATGAAGCATTTAAGAGAATTAAAGAATGTACATGGATTTTGTTTTCTTAGTACCATAAAAAATTGTTTTGGGGTTTTTAATGAACATTACCTTTAAACTAAAAGTAAATACCTATATCCACGAATCTTGGATCTATCTACAAGTACACAGCTGGTAACATGGGAATCAAGAGTAGATAGTCTCATTTGAAAACTACTGATGATCCCATGTGTTTTCTTCATCTATGAACCACACGTTTGAAAAGAGATTTTTTTCCCACTTCTATGTAGCTATGTAAACCATATGCATGGACTGTGCGCATCTTTTTTATTGACATAAACCAAAAATATAATCAGCATGTTACCTTTTATTGTAAAAAGTGTCATTTGTTTTCTTTCCTTTCAATTGTCTAAAAGTCCATGCGTAAACGTGTTGAGAATATGAAAAACCTAAAGAAACAGAAGAGGAAATTTAGTAAACGGTTTGCAAAACCTGCTCCTATTCCAGAACCAGGACTCCTAGTAAGTATAAAGTCTTCACTGTAATTAACAGATCTTTAAATGCAACAGACACCTCACTTTTAATTTACACAATACTCTAAATTTTGTTTTTCCCTTTTCCTTTGAGAAATGCATAATCGCAGTCTGGAAAGGTACCTAAAAGCGCCTCTAATCAAATTCTCACCTATTATTTAAATCTTCTTTGCAATCAACTCCTGGAGATCATGTGGTTTAATGAAAAGAGTATGGTCTTTGAAACCATGTTGTTCTGTATTCCAGTTTTTTCTGACAAAATTATCTGACAAAATTAGTCACTTAAATGTTTTGCATTATATTATTTGGAAAATAAATTACAAAATCTCCCACCACATAGTTATTCACCCTGGGCTTGTATACATCAGAAAGCTCTACACCAATCACAGCTTATTCCATCTTTGCATACCTTTGACATGGATTTAAAAGTTCTTCCATATAACACATGATATTGCTTCGAGGAGCCCCTTACACGTGGTATTATATTTCTTGTTGCCAGAGATATATCCAGTGGCCCTTCTGCTTGAAAGTTCCTTAGATAGTTGAGGATGCCTGTTACCTTCCTTAACATTCCGGCATTTCTTCAGGGTAAAAATCCCCATTTTCCTCATCCGTTCCTCTTTTTATTTAGTAGTTATCCCTGCCCTTATCCGGGGAATCTCTAGGAACAGGATTATATTTCATTACAGAAAAATTTGGGAAAAGTTGTATTTCCAATAATTAAGTTTTTTGTTCTGTTCATTTCCTTTTTTAAAGAAAATATTTTATAAACACAACTAATGAATAGTTATGTCAGTTCGGAATTGCTAACTTCAGTTCCTTATAAGAAAAATTCAGCTGCAGTGGCTTAACCAAATAGGAATATATATATATATATATATTTTCCAAACTAGAACTCCTGACCTATGCAGTCTATGGTGAATATGGTAGTTCCAAAAATCACCAAAAAAGTCCTTCTATCTTTCTGATCCTTCAGACTTTTCTCATGACCTTTATTGTCATGGTCTCAGAAAGGTTTCTACATCAGTAAACACTGTATCTACATTCCAAGACAAAGGTGTAGGACAAAGAGAAAAAAGCATATGCCAGCCTAGTCAGTACCCTTTTCATCAGGAAAACAGTGTCCAAATGTGTGTGTGTGTGTGTGTGTGTGTGTGTGTGTGTGTACACGTATACAGTTTGCTTTTTATCAGCCTTATTGAAGTATAGTTGCATACAATAAACTGCCTATATTTAAAGTGTATATCTAGTCTTTAACAGTTTAACACATGTACATCCAGGAAACCATCACCACAACCAAGATAATCAACATAGCCACCCCCAAATTTTTTCTTGTGCCCCCTTTGTATTTAGATAAATAGACTTTATTGTTTAGAGCAGTTTAGGTTTACAGAAAGTTTGAACAGAAAATACAGAGTTCCCACATACTCCCTGTCCTTCCCCAACAGTTTGTCCCATTACTGACATCTTGCATTGGAGTAATACATTTGTTACAATTGACGAATCAATATCGATATATTATTAACTCAAGTCCATAGTTTACATTAGGGAATCCTAGGGATCCTAATGTAAACTCCCTGAGTTGTACAATTCTGAGTATTACAGTATCATGAAGAATAGTTTCACTGGCCTAAAAATCCCCTGTGCTCCACCTATTCATCCCGGCCCTCCCTCCTCTCCCGCTCCTCTAACTCCTGGCAATCACTGACCTTTTTTACAATCTCTCTAGTTTTGCCCTTTCCGGAATGTCATATAGTTGGAACTACACAGTATGTAGTCTTTCTTTTAGACTGGCTTCTTTCACTTAACAATATGCATTTAAGGTTCTTCTATGCCTTTTTATGCCTTAATAACCCATTTCCTTTATCCTTGAATGATATTCCATTGTATGGATAGATGTACCACAGTTTATTCACCTATTGAAAGACATCATGGCTGTTTCCAATTTGGGGCAATCATGAATACAGCTGCTGTAAACATTGATGTTTCAGATTTTTGAGTGGACATAAGTTTTCAACTCACTTGCATAAATTTCTAGGAATGCAATTGCTGGATCAGATGGTAAAACTATGTTTAGCTTTATAAGAAACTGGCAAACTGCCTTCCAAAGTAGCCTTATCATTTTGCATTTCCGCCAGCAATGAATGAGAGTTCCTGTTGCTCCACATTCTTGCCAACATTGGATGTTTTTAGTGCTTTGGATTTTAGCCATTCTGACAGGTGTGCAGTGGTATCTTGTTTTAATATAGTACTGACAATCTTTTCGTATGTTTATCTGCTATCTGCATAACTTCTTTGGTGAGTTGTTTAATTGAGTTGTTTATTTTCTTTTAATTGAGTTGTTTATTTTCTTATTGTTGAGTTTTAGGAGTTATTGAATACCAGTTTTGTTTTGCTTTTTTATGATGTGTTTTGCAAATATTTTCTTCCAGTCTGTGCTTTGTCCTTTCATTCTTCTAATAGTGCCTTTCCCAGAGCACACTAGGCCATGGTGTATAATTAGTTATATACATTCTGGGATTCAACTTGCCAATATTTTGTTGAGTATTTTTGTTTCTATGCTCTGAGAGATATTAGGCAGTCATTTCCTTTCTTGTACTGTCTTTGGTTTGGGTGATAGAGTCATGCTGGCCTCATCGAATAAGTTAGGAAGCTTTCCCTTTGTTTCTATTTTCTGCAAGAGACTGCAAAGAATTGGTGTAATTTCCATTTTATATGTTTGGAAGAATTCACCAGTGAACACATCTGGGCTTGGTGCTTTTTGTCTTGGAAAGTTATTAATTATTGATAAAATTTCTTACACTTTAAAACTTTTTAATTGTCCCACAGTTCTTGGATATTTCTGTTCCATTTTTTCATCCTTTTTTTTCTCCTTGCTTTTTAATTTGGATGTTTCTATTGACACATTGTCAAGCTTTCTGATTCTGTTTCCCGCCATGCCAAGCCGACCAATGAGCCCATCAATGACATTCTTAATTTATGCAAATGTTTTAGATTTCTAGAATTTACTTTTGATTCTTTCTTCAGAGTTCCCATTTACCTTTACATTGCCCATCTGTTCTTGCATCTTATCCATTTTTTCCATGAGATCTCAGCATATTAATCATAATAATTTTAAATTCCCAATCTGAGATCCAAAATATCTGCTGTATCTGAGTCTAGATCTGATGCTTGCTTTGTCTCTTCAGACTAGTTTGTTTTGGGGTTTTTTGTGTGTGGTTGTTTATTTGATTGTTTTGCTTTTTAGCATGTCTTGTAATTTTTTGTTGAGAGACAGACATGATGTATTGAGTAATAGAAACTGAGATAGATAAGCCTTTAGTGTGAGGTTCTCTGTTTATTTGGCTAGGATTTAGGCTGTGTTTTTCTGTTTGCTGTAGCTATGGTGTCAGAGGTAAAAACTTATTCTGGTGTCCTTATTTTTGTCTCCCCTCTTTTCTTTGGGTCCCCCTAGAGACTCTCTCTTAAATAGGGTCTGAAGCTTGCAGTTCTTTAAGCTGGACTCCCCTGATATTATATAGCAGCCTTATTGATGTAGTGGTAAATTGTGTGGGAAAGATAAGTATAGTATAGTTCTAGAATTAGGTCTCAGTCTTTTAGTGAATCTGAGTCCCTGGGATGTGACTTTCTCAACTACTTCTTTTCTGCCCTCCCCCTCAAGCAAGACAGGAAGGCTATAGGGAACTGAAGTTGGGTATTTCTCTTCCCCATATCAATGGGTCTCAATTGGGGTATTTTCCTTCCCCCAGGTCAGTTAAGGTTTGGCAAAACCCAAACTGGTCAGGTTCTGATAAAATAGTTTCCCTTGAGGGCATGCCCTATTAAGGAGAACAAAGCTCTGGGGGTACTTCAAAATGGTTACTTTCACCCTCCCACTTCTGGAAGCAAAAGGAGATGTTTCTCTGATCTTCAACAGTGAGACCCATGTGGCTCCTGCAGGTAAAACTCAAGGAACTAGTAGGGCTTCCATAAGACTTCCCTCCACTGCCCCCGTCTGAGTTTTTAATTTTCAAGCTAATACATACTGAGCCTCCAGCAATTCATCCATTGAAATTTAAGTGTTCCTACCAGTTTGAGCTTCAGCAGTGGAATCACCTGTTTGCCCTGTGACCTCTATTGTCGGATGGACCCAAAGAGTTGTTGGTGTTCAATCTGTTCAGTTTTTTTTCTCTTTTTTTAATTGAGATATAATTCTATAATTTAATTGTATAATTTAATTAATATAATTTAAATTATAATTATATAATTTAATTGAGATATAATTATGTCTCAACAATGTATTAGTTTCAGATGTACAACATAATGATTCGATATTTGTATGTATTTTGAAGTCATCACTGCAGTAAGTCTTAATTAACATCTATCACCACACATAATTACAGATTTTCCCCTGTGGTAATAACTCTTAAGGTCTACTCTCTCAGCAACTTTCAAATATACAATACAGTATTATGAACTATAGTCTCAATGCTGTACATTACATCTCCAGGACTTATTTTATAACAGGAAGTTTGTACCTTTTGACCACCTTCACCCGTTTTCACCCACTCCCAAACTCCCACCTCCGGCAATCACCAATCTGTTCTCTGTATCTATGAGCTAACTTTTGGCTTTTTTTAGAGTCTACATATAAGTAAGATCATATGATATTTGTCTTTCTCTCTCTGATTTATTTCACTTAGCATAATGTCCTCAAGGTCCATTCATATGCTGTTGAAATGGCAAGAGTTCCTTCTTTTTTATGGCCACATAATGTTTCATCGTATATCTGTATACCACATGTTCTTTATCTGTTCACCCACTGATAGACACTTAGGTGACTTCTATGTCTCTGCTACTGTAAATAATGATGCAATATGTTCAACTTTTTTCTTGTTGTGAGGATTACAGTGATGATTTCCAAGCTCTTTACATGACAGACTGGAAACTCCCACTTATGTTTCTTCTATATATTGACCAAAATGTATAGCATCTCCTATTTAAGCTCAAGCTCTCAGTGCTTCTCAAATGTGGTCAAAGATCAATTATTTTGTTTCATTTGGTTTAGTTTAATTCTAAACCACTGTGGACTGATCACTATTTTAGCATACAATCCAAATGTCATAGCAATATCAAGTTGTTATAAGTGAACATGAATGTTTAGTCTCAATTCTCTGCTAATCTTGTTGCAAAGTAGTAATAACTGTAATACTAGCACCCAAACCAGACTACACAGAATAACACTGCTTTAAACAGTACTGATTCTTTCACGTTCTTCTCTTGTGTGTTTTGCAAATTGTTGTGTTGTAAGCAGCATCCCTATTAATACCCTCTTCTCTTTTTTCCCTCCTGTTAAATTGATCTTTGGCTTCAGGAAAAAATACCATAACAGTATTTGTACAACTGAAATGGTTTAGGATGAAAATTAAGACCTGATTAGTATTTTATTGACATATGGGTTAAATCCATTAGAACAGAGGGTGCATGATGAGGCTGAAGCATGCACTTGTTAAAATAAGTTTGAAAAAGTATTTTTGTTTTGGTTTTTCTCTGTTTAAAATCTCTATAACAGAAGTGGTCACCTCATTACATCATTAATTTTATGTACTCATGGATACTTAAATTATCTTGAAATACTACTTATGGCTAAATTCCTATCAATTCTGATATGCATAATCTTGCCATTTTCACTTATTTTTCCCTGTTGCTCAATTGATTTTGAGTCATTTTAAGACTTAAAACACTCTCAACAGACGTATATAATATGCATTTCTCAGTCAATTGCAGATCATACGACTTAGAAAAGAAAATCCCCATGTTTAACATTTCTGTCACATCCATTATGTTTAGAAATGACTTTGACCCTCTGTCCAAACTGTTATTTTCATCTTCTACAAATTCTTCCTGTTTGTAGTGTTTGCTACCTGACTTATGGAAAAAAATGTTCATATCAAATTTTCCCCAATATGATTTATTTTATATTAGTGACTTTTATATCAGGATTCTATCTGACTGTGACCTTACTACAATTGTATTTGCATAAAAAAGGCTTCTCCCTTTGATACTTTTTCCAGATAATTTATAGTTTATGTAAACTTTTCCTTATATAAATTTTAATTGAATTTATTTTTCTTTGTATATTTTAATCTCTTCTAGTGGACATAAAGCTGGAGTCTGTATGGAAGAAATCATGTGCCAGAACAAAATATGCAGATTTATAACATCTAGTGGCATTTCCAGATTTGACGTCATTTGAAAGATAAAGGCAATCATCTGCTATTTCAGCAAAATAAACACAATGCAACCATTTCACATCCAAGTCACAGGCTCAAGAACTTTATTAAGTACCGTATCTCACTACCACTTTCTTTTGTTTGCAAATTTGAGAAATGCTGCCTTTCAACAAATAAAATGAATATGTATAGGCTTTTGAAAATAATATACTAATATTTAAATTTTGCAGTTGGATTTATGACTTGTAGAGATTTAGAGTTATGTTTTAATAATAGGGGAAAACAGATATTTCTCTGCTGTATATTTATAATGACTTGTGTTTAAACAAAATGTTTACAATCTTTAAGTAGTCCTAGGGGAAAGTTTTAATATAACTAAAACTTATGTTTTATGTTAATATTGCAAATAAGCTATAGTGCAATTAAAATTCTCACAGTAAATTTTGAATACTGAATTAGAGTTTACTTTTATGTATGAAATGGATTATAATCATGTCTCCGTAAAATGCTTGCTTAATTACATAAGTAACTTGACATGCAAATGGAATTATTGCAATTATATTCTAAATTATTGAGTTGCCAACTATTAGGTTAACACAAACATTATATTTAGCGACTGATTCGCAGCATCCAAAATATAATCTGAAGTACAGGGAATTCTGCTTGCGGGCATGATACAAATATCAGAATTATGCTTCCACGGTAAACAACTAGAAAACAGGACAAAATATTAAAAACAATGGTTTTCAGAAATGAGACAAGAGTAAAAAAGGGCTGTGACCTCTAAGAGAAAAGAAATAGAGGAACCCTATGACTATCCATTTACGGCCTGGAGGAGCATTCTAAATCTTGATGCAGGGAAAAGGATAATAAGCAGAACACAGCAGTTTTCTTAAGCTGAGGAACAGAGCTAAGAATTCTGGGTAGCTAGAGGAGAGGGCAGAATTCCAGACAGTAAGGAACTGCACACAGTACTTTGTGATCTGCATATGGCTCTCACTGAGTCTGCTGAGTGCTAAGCTGCGCGTGCACAGGGTGAACTGAACCTCAACAAGGTTAGCTCTGTTTCCTCTCTGTTCACTATCAGTGTAATTGTCTAGTATCCAACCAAAATTACTAGGCATGTCAAGAAGCAGAAAAATGTAACATAGTCAGGGGGAAATCAAGTCAATAGAAAGAGACACAGATATGAAAAGAGATGATGTATTTAGAATTAATGTAAACATTATATATGTTAACTCTGCTCAGCAATTTAAAGAAGAAAACATGAACATACAAGGAGAGAAAAAAGATATTAAAAAGAACTAAACAGAGCTTTTAGAACTGAAAAATAACTGAAATTTAAAAATTCACTAAATGAGATTAAAAGTATATTAGATGTAAAAAAAAAAGTCATAAAATTGAACATACAGCAATAGAAATGTCCAAACTGAGGCAAAAAAGAAAAAGACTGGAAAACATGATTAGTGCCTTGCTTATCTGTGCGACAATATCACATGGTCTAATGAATAATTGGGAATGACTGACTAGGGGAGAATAGGAGTGAAAAAGAACTCCCAAAATGTTTCCACATTTGATAAAAGCTAATCCCATGAATCCAAAAAGCTTAAGAATACCAGGCACTATATGGATCAAAACTGATCAAATTACCTTATAATCAGATTGCTGAAAAATACTGAAAAGAGAAGGAAAACAGTAGGGGGAGGGGAGAACATTAAATACTGAGAAACAAGCATAAGAAAACCAGAAACCTCATCAGAAATTATATGAGCCAGAATGACATCTTTTAAGAATTGATTGTTTAAAATCTGCCAAATTAAAGTTTTATATGGAGCAAAAATGTTCTTCAAAACTGAAGGCAAAATGCAGATTTTTTTCCCCAGAAATGTCAAAAAATACTTATCAATGGCAGACTTGCAGGGAAATAGTTCTTTAAGTGGAAGAAAAGTTTTGTCAGATTCTTGGATCTACACAAAACAATGAAAAGCTCTGGAAATGATACACATACAAGTAAATATAAAATCATTTTACTCTAAATTTTTATTTCTTTAAAAATTAATTGACTGTTTTAAGTAAAAATAATTATTGTGGTTTCAATAACATGTAGGGGTAAATGAATGACAACAAAGGGTGGGAGAGGGTTAATGGAAAGTACAATTGTCGAAAGTTTCTCATATTTTACCGGAAAAGAGATTTGAAGGTAGACTTGGATACGTTAAAGACATATTGTAAACACTAGAGAAACCACACACACACACACACACACACACACACACACACACACACACACACACACACACAAAGAGATATAACTCATAGGGGGGATAAAATGGAATGTGGAAAACCACTCCAAATGAAGATAGAAAAAGAACAGGGGAACAAAGAATGGATTTGAAAATAAAGAAAACAAATGGCAAGATGTAGATTTAATCCCAAATTAATAGCTACATTAAATCTAAATGGTCTAAACACTCCAATTAAAAGGCAGTATCAAGAACTGAAGGATTTGAGATTTTATTCTACTTTACAAGAAAACAAGTTAGACTGGCCCAGTTTCATAGATGCTGGCAGAAGACAAAAGGCTCCTGGGTGGAGTCAAAGAACTCCATTGCTTCAGGCACAGCAGGCAGTATCAAATGCATGCTTGCATTGGTTTATTTTGACTCTCCAAGCCCCATGAGTGTGATGCAGAGCTGTGCCCGGGTCGCTACTGGCACACTGTGGGTTTGTGTTACAGCTAAGGAAGCCCCAGTCTTACAGAAGGGGCTGCTGAGCAAACCTGCCCAACTTTTGCTCTGCAGGGAGGCACTGTCTCCACTATACTGGACAGAAAACAAGCCTGCTCTAGAGGAGACTATCTTTCAAGTTAGCTTACTATACAAACGTCCTTAAAAAGACAGTCTAGAGCAAAGAATGTTCAAACCTTTGCTCAGAAAACATATGGAAACATGCAAGACCAATGGAGAATCTTCTTCCAACAGGCAGAGATTGTCAAACTGGATTTTTAAAAAATGCAAAACTGGGCCAGCCGAGTGGCTCAGTTGGTTAAGAGCTCACTTAAGAGTGCGAGCTCTGAGCAACAGGGATGCCGGTTCGATTCCTGGCCCAAGCTGAGCTGCTGCTGAGCTGCCAACAGGATGGCTCAGCTAAAAAAGAAAAAAAAAAAGAAAAACCAACTACAAGCTGTCTGCTAGAAACATACTTTGTATATAAACATTGATAGGTTTAGAAATGAAATGATGCAGCAAAATATATCATGAAAACACAAACCTTAAAGCTAGAATGGCTATATTAATAAATTAGTTTTCAGAATAAACCATATTATTGGGTATATAGATTAATATTTTATAATAAGAGCTTCAATTCATCACAAAGACATAATCATAAATATATGCACCCAATAGCAAAATATCAAAAGACATTAAGCAAAACCTGGAAGAATTCAAAGAATAAACACACAAATCCACAATTATAACTGAAATACAAACATTCCTCTCTTTAAAACTGATGCAACAAATAGAAAATCAGTAAAAACATAGGAGCCAGCACTACCAGCCAACACTTTTAGTGATATTCATAAAATACTCCACCCAACATTAACAGAACACATATTCTTTCAAGTGCACACCGGAAAATGAAAACAGACCACCTGCTGGGCCACAAGGTAAATCTCAGTTGAGTTTTATAGGATTGAAGTGAGACAGAATTATGTCCTTTGACCACTATATGTATGTGTATATATATATATATATATATATATATATATATATACATATATATATACATATATATATATATGTTTGAACTAAAACAATCTGATAAAAAAGGACAAAATATTTGAACTGACATTTCTAAACAGCTATACAAATAACCAGGTAGTATATAAAAAGACAGTAAATGCAAATTAATACCACTATAGATCCATGTGAACCGGTAAAATTAAAAAGACTAATCATACCAACTGTTAGCTAGGATGAGAAATAACTGGTACTTTCTTACATCACTGATATGAATGACATGGTATAAGCACTTTACCTTAAAAAAAATCCCTAACAGTTTTCCATACATGTGAAACACGACCCAGTTATTCCACTCTTAGGTTTTCACTAAAGAGAAATAAACATGTTCACACAAAGACTTGTACACAAATATTTATAAAGCTTTGTTCACAAATAGCCTCAAAATGCAAACAGCCCTATGTCCATGGATAGGTAAATTCATTTTTAAAATGCGGTACATCTATAAAAATTGAATATTATCGAGGAACCATACACACAATAAATAACATTAATGAATTTTTAAACTTTATGTTGAAGAAAAGCCAAGACAAAAAAATTACATATGATCCCATTTATCTGAAACTCTAGAAAATACAGTCAATCTATAGGCACAAACACAAATCAGTGTTTTCTTTGGGCACAAATAAATGGAAAGATATCTTGTGTTGATGGTTCGGAAGAGTTAATATTGTTAAAATGCCCATACTATCCAAAGCAATCAACAGATTCAATGCAATGCCTACCCAAATTCCAAAGCCATTTTTCACAGAAATAGAACAAACAATCCTAAATTTGTATGAAATCACAAAAGACCCCCAATAGCCAACACAATCTTGAGAAAGTACAAAGCTGGAGGCATCACAAGTCCTGACTTCAAACTATACTACAAAGCTGTAGTAATCAAAAGGTATGGTTCTGGCATAAAAACAGACACAAAAACCAATGGAACAGAATCAAGAGTCCAGAAATAAACCCACGCATATATACTCTACTACTATTTGACAAGGGAGCCAAGAATACCCAATGGGGGAAAGGATATTCTCTTCAATAAATGGTGCTGGGAAAACGAGGTAACAACATGCAGAAGAATGACACTGGACCCCAATCTTACACAGTTCACAAAAGTTAACTTAAAATGGATTAAAGACTTAAACATGAGACCTGAAGCCATAGAACAGTGATTTCTGGGGAGTTAACTGTCACTTTACATACTACCTTTTTGCAATGTTTGAAGATATTTCAACAAGCAAGAAAAACTAATATAATGCAAGGAAAAAAAATCAAACAAAAGCAGTTGTGTGCTGTAACTTCAGCATTACCCAGAATCTTACTAGAAATAAATTTCAGATTTCATCTTAAACTTATTAAATCATAAACTACATTTTAAGTAGATGCCCAGGTGATTTTTATGCCTATTAAAATTTGACAAGCATTCAATTAAAATATTCCTGACTAGATCAACCTACGTCACTACCCTTGTAGCGATATGTTGACTCCAAAACAGCAGAAACCAACGGGCATCTCAACTAACGCCACATTCACGAGGTTGGCTTCTAAAACACAGCGAAGGATTTCCTATTCTGCTCTCAATTGGAATAATGCCCATAGTCACTCAGAAGGTAGAAATGGTGCTGATGTCAATTTGCAATTTTGGCAAGTTGAAGTCAACTACACTTTAATTTCTTGGAGGTCAGAGTCCCATCTCACAAGAGAAGTAACGAACTATCCAGAGCTGTATGACTCGTTTATAAATGGCCAGGCAAGGGAGGCCACGAATCAAGTCCTTCCATCCCATCCCTGTCTGCTGCCCGCAGCACGTTTTTCCTGGCACCGCGGCCACGGCCCAAGCTCGCCAGGCACTCGCGGGGCGTGGCCAATGTGGGGTGGGGGGTGGGGACGGAGGCGGGCCGCAGGGGGGGCGGAGCCGCGAGAGGAGGGAGCGCGGCAGCAGTGGGCGGAGCCGAGCCGCCGGGCAGCGGTGGGAACGCGGCGAGCGCGGCCGACCCGGGGCCGCGCAGTTCGCACTTACCGGTCTGGGGCGGGAGGGACGCTCCGCCGCTCTCCCGATGGGGCTGTGCTTTCCCTGTCCCGGGGACTCCGCGCCTCCCTCGCCGGACCCGGTGAGTAAGGCCGCGCTCCCGTGTCTCCGCGTCCGCCGGCCTGCGCCGCGCGCACCTGTTCCCGGGAGAGGCGGAGGCTCCGGGCGGCCTCGAGCTGCGGGCACCTGGGCGGGCGGAAGCGGCGGCGCGGGCCGGGGAGCTCGCCGCTGGGTCCCGGGTGGTCAAGACGGGCGGTCGCGCCCCGAGGGACGTTGGGATCCTGCTAGCGGGACCTGGGCCGCCGCCTCCCCGTCGGACTCCCCACTTGGGTGACACAGGGTTGCCGGTTGTCCGAAGGCGGCTCCGGGGTCTCTCCCCCTTTTCCCTGAGTTCGGCAAAATTAGAAGTTCGTAGGACGCAGGCGTCCGCCGACGGCGCGGTGTAGGGGCCATTCCGGGCGGTGCGGGCGAGGGAGTCCGGGTGCAAAACGGGGCTCCTCGTCCCGCGTGAGCTGAAGTGTTGGAGGGCCTCGGAGATGTGTCTTTTCCTGTGTCTCCACCAGCTGTTTAAAGAAGGTGCTCAGTCAAGTCCCGCAGCCTCCCGCGCCTTATTGGATATTGTAGTAATGGTTTCCCTTTAGTATTTCGCTTTTTTAAGTTCTTCCTTTTTTTTTTAAAAAAAGGACTATTTTATGTAGTACAGAGAGTACAATTGGTAACGCAGCCATATTTAGCAAATAAAAACACAGCACGCCCAGTTAAATTTGAATTTTCAGAGAAACAAGGAATACATTTTCAAAATAGATTTGACCCATGTAATACTGAGACATACTTATACTAGAAATTATTTGTTGTTTAACTGAAATTCAAATTTAGGCGGTTTGTGGTACATTTATACTTTGTAGCTTTCTGTTTTTAACAGTGTCTTTACATTAATAGTCCTTACAGGGAGTTGATAGCAGAAAACCTAAATTCCTCGCTTCTCTCCTTTCTAGCTAAAAATTCGTTGAAAGAAATTACTTATTTAGGAAAGTACATGAACTCTTCAGCTTTATGAGTATAGGTACTAAAAATGACCTGGAAGTGGGTACCAGAAAGTGCTCCTTGTCTTTCTTGTTACTGTTGCTTTTAACTATTCTTAATTTTGTGTATCGGGCTGCTGATAAAATCCCCAACTGTCAGCATTTGTTAGTCCCTCCGCCCACCCCCACAGATAACCACATGGCTCACTACTTCAGTGTCGCTTGGTCACTGAGGTTTTTATTGACCACCCTAAATAAAATAAATCCCCCACTATACCACGCACCCAATCCTTCCATTTCCTGTCCACCATACTCGCTGTATTTCCCTGAAGCGCTTATTACTATCTGGAAGACACAGATGTACTTGATGATATTTGACTGTGTGCCCTTTTGGAATTTAAGTTTCATGTGGGTGGAACCATTTGTTTGTGTTTTTTCACTGCTGTATCCTCAACACCGAGAAACATTTCTGAGGCATGACAGGTGTTTAGTAAATACTGTATTTGTCCAATGAATGAATGAATGAATGAATGAATGAATACGTATTGTGTTATGGAAAACAAGGGAATTAACATAGCTCCCAAAAGGATGCTACTCACTGTCTTACATACTTGAAGATTTTCCAATTAATACATGATATAGAAAAATAATATTCACTTTCCCAACATGGAACAGTACCTCTCATAAATTTCCTACACTCTGTCCTATCCTCCCCAGTGAGATTCACCCACTTCATTTATGAACCTTTCCTGAAAACACCAACCTACTTCAAGGTTCTTTATAACTGGCAGTACCAAACCATGTATTTCCCTCCTTGTATTATTAAATTTCATTTGTTTTATTATTACCCTGACTTGTTTGTAAGTTGTAAGACCTTTTTAAAAAACAAAAAAAGATTTTATAGGTCAACCTGTGTGTATATATAATGTATAATATATATGCATATATAATATATAAGATGTATAATATATGACATATAGCATCTGTATATGTCTTAGCATGTATTTATTTGGAGGTATATTGCTTGATTGTGAGAATGAAATTCAGAAAGTTGATTATTTCATAAATATTGTAAATACAGGAGTTTTAGTGAGACATTTTGAGTCAGTACTAAATATTTTGTAAACTTATATTACCTACAGGTGTGTAAATTATCCATGATAATATTTGGTTTTATTTTAAAATATATTTTTTACACATTTTCCTTAGGCAGAGAAAAGAGCAAAACTTGCAGAGGCTGCAGAGAAAAGACAGAAGGAGGTGAGAGTAAATGTAAAATTCTACCTACTTAGATAATTAAGTTTGTATTTTATTCTTGATAGATGTCAATGACTAATAGTATTCTCTAACGAAAACGGTATCTGATTATCCTATAAATTTATATTTAAAGGTAATCATTTTCAAAATGTTCTCTTTCTATAAATTACATTAATGCATTTATATCATTTAATTTATGAAAATAACTACAGATGCCTTCTGTAATGTGAGATGCCCCTTTAATAACATTCTTCCTTGGGATAAAATGACCATGCCTTATAAAACACAGACAAATATGAAGTAGGTTTAGAAGGAAAATTTTTATGGTTGCAAAATACCCAATGAAAAAATGATAATATGTTTTATGTAGAGCTGTGGTAGAAATAGTTTAATTTCTTTTTACCAAAAATAGACCAACCCCCCCACCTCCAAAGAAAAGCCTAAAAAGCAAAAAAATCAAAATAAAAAAACTTTAAGATACTGATTTTTATTGTTTTGTATCCCTGATCACATTTCTTAAAGGCTGCATCTCGGGGCATTTTGGATGTTCGTTCTGTGGAAGAAAAGAAAAAGAAAAAGGAAAAAATGGAAAAACAAATTGCTACTACGTCTGGGCCCCCACCAGAAAGTGGACTTAGAGTAAGTATTAAAATGTTCTCAAGATTTAACCTTACCTGGAATTTTTTAAAACTTAACTAGCAATCCATTTAATAATTTTCTCTTGAAATGGATTATCAGAAAAATTTTAATTAATTTAAAAGCATGAATAATATAGATTGGAAGAAGTATCAATTTATTTGGACATTGTAACCCTGGAATATGTTTACTTTCTTTTCCAAAAATGAAAATAGATTTTTCTTGATTATATTAAGCATTATATCTTAATGGTTTATATAATCAATACTAATCTTAGTTAGAAAACTGAAACACTATGGGAGAGTATAAAGAAAGTAAAAATCACCCCAATTCAGTGTCATTTTGACAGGCATCATTTCTCATCTTCATTCATACATCAATCTTATTCAATTGAATTACACTATAAATTTGTTTTTATAACCTACATTTTTTTTTTACTCAAAGATTTGATATTTTTGAGCCTTCCATTGTCACTCATTATCATAGTTATGTAACTGTTAATTTGAGTATACAGGGGTGATTGTGACACATGCACCTTCCAATGTAGCAACTGCAGCGCTTGACACAGGAAATATATTGGTGGAAAAATTAAACAAGGTCCTTGAGCTCGGAGATCTTTACAATCTAACAGGACTATAAAGGTTTCATTTTACATGTTAAAGCTCAGAAAAATAATAGTTCAAATACTAAGAATTTATTCTTTGGTCCATTTTAAAGGAAATAATATTTCTTAATTAAGCATATTTGTGAAAAGGACAATGTCCTGAATTTCAGTCAGTTATACTCAGCTTGTCAGTGATTTATGAGTACTTGTTTAGCCAATTCACTGTCTTCTCAGTTCAGTTTGGTTTTTGCTCTCATAACTATATATAAATGCATATATGTATACATATTCCTAACTGGTAGGGCAGGCAGTTTAGGAGCATCCTGAGCAGAGCTGACACTCAGGAATATCACATAGAGATAAGATTTATCTGTGTGTATTTTATAATTATATGTTACTTTATCTAATTTCATGTAGTAAATGAAATTAAAAAAACTTGTTAACTTTTAACAATGTATAAAATATTGGTTTCAATACTGAGGTAAATTACTGTGCCCATTTTGCTTTTTTTAACATACCCTCAACAATAGAATAGAATAAATTTAGTATAAAGTAAAACAGGTGGTGAGAGATAAAAATGTTTATCGGGCCAGCCAAGTGGCTCAGTTGGTCAAGAGTTAGCTTAAGAGCACGAGCTCTGAGCAATAGGGCCGCTGGTTCGATTCCCACATGGGCCAGTGATGCTGCGCCCGAGCTGAGCTGCTGCTGGGCTGCCAACAGGTGGCAGGATGGCTCAGCTGGTATAACAACAAGACTGCCTGTTTGATGGTGGGCTACGCCCGCCAGCAACTAAGACTGAACTCAGCACCTTGAGCTGAGCTGCCGCCCAGATGGCTCAGTGGTTAGAGCATGCGCTCTTAACAACAAGGCTGCTGGTTCGACTCTCCCATGGGATGGTGGCTACCCACCCGAAAGTAAGATTGAACACAGCACCTTCAGCTTAGAGGCCACGAGTTGCCAATGGGAGGCCAGATGGCGACTGGACTTGGGAGCTGAGCTAGCTGCGCCTTCCACAACTAAGATTGAAGGACAACAACTTGGCTGTTCCCCTTCACCAATTCCCCAATTTAAAAACAAAAAGTGTTTGTCAAAAGTATAGGTGCTTACTTTCAATATCCTGTTGCGATCAAGATCTGTCACCAGGTTTACTTAATAGAGGGCTTTCAAAAACAAATAATTTGTGAAAATTAAATTATAGGACTGGTAATGATGCTGACACCCACTACTTCATACTAGAAGAAATGGAGGCACTAGAAGAAATGAGTGACTTTGTCACATATAATGTTATAAGAAAAGGATACTTTCTATATAGTCAGAATTAAGAAGGTGCTTCTTTTACAACTTGTAACCCAACAAATTTGACATCAGCTTTTAAACTCAAAGAAAGAAAGGGGCTTCCATCCCCTGAAGCCTATAGATTAAAAAGAAATTAGGCCTTAAAATTCTTCTCGTCCCCTCACAAGTGCTCAAAATGAAAAACATCCCAGTGTTAAATTTAGTACCTTTATTTCTTTGTGTACTATTCTTAAAGGAAATCTTTCTGGCTCCCTTAATAAAAATAACCCTCAAGGCCATGAAGCTGGACAGTATGGGAGGATGTCCCCAATAAGAGGGGCTCACCCTCATAAACCACTGCTGTTGCCACTGTGTCATTTTCCCTCGGAATATTCCCAGGCACTTCTACCACACCAACACCCTGGCTTTAAGGGACAGGCAGCCTTTCTCTTAGCCACTGCATAGCTCATCAGAGCATACAGTTAAGTTCAAAATAAAATGTTGGCATCTCAGGGAAAATAAAAGGCAGAGAAAACCTTTCATTCTCACTCCCCTGGCCTAGGGTTCTTTAAGGGCTGCTGTCAGGCCTGTTCTACAGGCTGGCATGGCAAGTCTTCAAGTGTAGCTTGATTCTTCCTACTCTAGCCAGACTCCATAGTATGAGGAACACATGCCCTTTCCCTGCCTTCATGCCCTCTACATCTCCCTTTCCTGACTACCTCTGCCTCTTAGGATAATTAGCAGTGGTATTACTGTCTTCTGAAAAGGCAGCCTTACCTTAAGAAGTCAAGGTATGATGGCATCAGGATGCAAACTAACATCAGTATAGGATGCAGCGGTACAACGGAGTAATGCAGACCTCTGGTGCTCTGGCTCTCAGCCCTGGCTGCACATTAGAATTTCAAGGAGCTTTCAGACAAGGCTTCACCTTGGGCCCTAGCTCATACCATCGGAATCTCATCGCAGGACATAGCCATCGGTATTTTGTGATTCCCCAGGTCATCTAATGTCAAACTAGGTTGAGAATCACTGCTCTAGTGTTTTTAACACTGGTCCTAAGATATATTGTGGAAAATAGACTCCCATGGTGAAAACAGTTTATAAATCCTGAATATTATATACTGTATTCCTTTCTTAGAGATTAAAAAGGACACTGTTCAAGTCTCTAAGAAGTCCTACAATAAAGAAAAACAAGTTTACTTGGATTAAACCTTACTTTTTTAATTTATTAAGAAATATATATATATATAGACACACACATATACACACATACATATATATCTGTATTTAAATAAATAAAAATAAATATATTACTTTAAATAAAGTATGTATATATCTACCAAATACTATTCCTTGGATGTACTTGGAAAACACTACTCTGAAAATATCTCTGTCCTATCCCAGTGGCTCTTTCAGAACTTATTGCAGATTTAATAGACTTGATTAAACAGAACCACAAATGGATTAGTTTCTCCACTCAAGCAAGGAAAAGATTGCCAAACCGTTATTTAATCATTTCTATTTCTTGACTCCCTGCCTCAAATAAGAATTCCTTTATTTTCATTTTGTAGTTTTGTTGTTTTTGTTTGGTGGTGGTTTGTTTTGTTTTCCTGTAGTGATTATTGAATATTTTGGATTTAGCTATCCATTAATCAGACCAAATATTTTGTTTTCCTTCTTTGTATTTTTAAACTATCATATATCTTCAAACTCTTACTATAATGTAAAATTTTACTAATTGTTGCTATTCACAAAGATCAATTTGCTTTTGTATATCCCATGTACTTGTCTTTGCTTGTTTGTTCCCATAGAAAATTGTTATGTAACTTTTTCTTTTCTGTGTATATTTTATTTTCTAGTGGACAGTTTCATGAAGGATAATATGAGTCTACTGCCAATAACTAGTACCTGCAATCAAGTGGACGTGCTCAATTGAATTTCTTCTTTTGAATAAATGAAGATTCAGACTGTAATTTTAGTGCCCTTAAATGCAGTGCTTTTTCAGTATTGAAATATCAGAAATGCTTTTGATTTTCAGACTTAAAAAAATGGCCAGAACTTTCATTAAATACTTATTTTCCTACAGTTGCTCATCTGCTGGGAGTGGATAATTTGCCACTTTGAATAGTTAAAACATGGACCTAAATAGTGAATATATATACATTGCATGTAAGGTTTCTGTATTCATCTCAAATATTGAAATTTGCCATATCATTTTCCCTCCTTTATAAAATGATCTAGCTATTTATAGTTGTGCTGCTTAGCCTTTTATCTCCTTTCATTTCATTATGTATGAAAACCTTTGCTTAAACTTATGGACTTAGTGCCTTTAAATTGACCATCAGGGAAAATTTTGAAAAATCACTTGAAGGGCTTATATGAAGGATCACTGTACATTTTTATAACATACTAAGTAATGAGTATTTGTACAAAGTACTGAATTTCTCCTAATTTATTTTCTATTTATGTAGCTTATAAACATAACATACTATGTTTTACATTACAATAATTTGTTTCTTTGCTTGCTGAATTTAAAATTATGTGTTAGTGGTACCATCAGAGGGCAGTAATGTGCTATTATTACAATATCAGATTCAGCTCTGTGAAGATCTTTGTAGTAATTAAGTGAGTTAAGAATCTGAATGGGTTATATATACTGAGTGGTAATACATTTGTCCAAATTTCATAGGTGTGTTTATTCTTTTGTATTTATTAAGACATGGTCATAAGATTGATACAGATGTGAAATTGTCAAGGCAAGTATGAATGTATGAAAGAGAAACGTGCAGGTACTGTATTTAAAAACGACTACTTTAAACATAAAAATATTGCTAGGTATTTCTGTATGATGCATAGTCAAATTTGTAGATTTTTGTTTATTAGTAACATGAGTTTTATAGCATTTTTGTTTTTTGAATTTTTGTTTTTAATATATAATAAGCTAAAATAGAAGAACTGCCGTATCTTTTAATTAGCTAGTATGGCTCCTAACTCTTGGATGGCAAGGCTATATATACTCTGAGCCCTCACTTAGAATTTGCAGATACTGAGTGCCAACAGAGACTAAATTAAATAGACCAGCTCAATTGAATTACAGAAAGGAAACTGAGCACTATCTTACTCATCCCTCCCACAATATTTGTGTTATATTGTAATATTTTGTATATGTTTTTAGAGACTTTGCACTATAGCATAGATCTCCTGACTTTTCATGGAAAAATTACCTTTTCTATTATGACATGAAATATTCTATGATATGCACACAACACATACATTTGGGCTCAATTTTCTTCATCCTTTAGAGGATTAGTTGTATTTTGTTCATAAAGAGTAGTGAAATTATTGAGTTGCATTTTAGAAATAAAGTTCTGACTTTATGAACATGATTAATTTTTCCATGGCTGGAAGGAAAAAGGATCATTAATAGCTCAGTGGATATGGAAGCAGAGCATATCATCTTTGATTTGCACAAATCTTTCCTTCGTTTTAATACAGTAAGAAAAATTTTATCTGTACTACATCTTAAAGAATTATACTTGGGTTAGTGTAAACAAAAGGTTTCCATCTAGGGAATAATGCCCTATTTCTAATAGTTTATATCCAAATGCTATGCTAATTTACTGTTGAGCCATGAATGTTAGGCTGGTATATTGCTTTCTGAAAACAGTACGACATGCTGCTCCAGCCAGCTGTGACTTGCTTCCGTGGGTGTGATCAGCTTCTCCCACAACCACATGGGTATGCATGGGCTTAGGGATGATACTTAAATGTTAGGAATAGTTTTAGAAAGGGGAAGGAAAGAGGGGTGGCTAGATGCCTGATAGGAAACCAGTAAATGACTACTTAAAAAAAAAATAGTACACACACATGCAGATACATCCAGGCATCTCCCTCATGAAGTTATGAATCAATTCCTGATGAAATCCCTAACTTCGAGCCATTTTACCATAATTCAGTATTTTAAAAGGAAAACGTTATCATGTTTATGTCACCCAAACCCCCCCAACAAAATTACTAAAATATAAATGAAGCAGTAAAATGCATACACTATCATGTTAAAATGTAAAATGCTTAAACCAATCATCAAACTATATGGCAGGTGACAAAAAGATTTATGATTACATAGCCTGTTTGTTAACATACTGCATTTTATATGATGCTGTCATTCTACTGATTGTGTTTGGAATGTAATTAATAGTTTTTGCACACATGCTTATGTTATAAATTCTGTATTGCCTTATAGGGATATAAATATAAATTTTTCCTACATGAAAATTGACGTCGGATGTTTCTGTTTAACAAAAATGTTATCTTCACTACATCTTAAATAATTAGAACCTGGGATAGTGGTTAGGGAAGCCTCAGCAATGCTTTTACCTCTTTGGGATTAATGAGAACAACAGCTAAAGGCGGTTTGATGTGTTCATACAACCCCTGAATTTATAGGTAGGCATGTTTCTTTTCCAATACTGTAAAGGACAAGTGATATTATTAGTCTGTTTTCTTACAGAAACAATACTATAATAAAGGTTATAGCTATCATTCTAGGTACCCCCCGGAGAATTGACATAAACCTTGAATTTTCCTTTTCTCCTCCCAACAGTTCAGCTTGTTTATTTTCTGATAAGAATTATGCTCTGCCCTTAGAAGAAAAAGTGACTCTTGTCAGTTTTAGATTTGAATAACTTCTGCATAAATAGATGAGTAAGAGGTCAGTAGATATGTATGCGTATCGTGAGATTAAGGTATATTCCTTTTACATCGCCAAGCAAGCACCTCAAATTCCCATGACTATATGTGCTTTAAGTTGATTCAAATGTGGTACCATGGCTGTTCTGATTTTTCTCAGAAGCCACTGACACAAGGTATTTTTGTATATAGCAGACTTAAAAAATTCTGATTTGACACAAGAGTTTATGTCCAAAGAACTCAAACACTTAAAATTTCTCACATGCCATGGCGTTTTTTTGTCCTGTTCCCCCTCTTCTAGGTATGCTTCATCTTGCAGATGTTGCCTCTAAATGTGATCATTGTGGTCTAAGAACTGAATACTGAATGTGCATAAATTACTTGACCTGGATATACTTTTACTATACCCAGAATCTCATTATCTTTTTATAGCACCGTACTTGTGTGGATTTTCGAGCTAATGTCCTCCAGTCATAAAAACATGCTTGAGCCATCTTTTGCAAGTGCTTCAAACATCTCACATGCAACTAATTAGTTTTCTTCAGAAATGCTGTCTCTAGGCTATTTCTTCGAAATCTATTTCATCACATAAGTCACAAGTCCAGGAGTTAGAATAAACCTGTCGCTCTGTCTAATGCCTAAGGAGCCCTTTTCTCATTCTACATCTCTTTGATTCAGAGATCAGACTTAAAAGTTTTAAAAAAATGTACCAAGTGTCTCATATGTACAAAATTCTTAAGTAGCTGCACAAAAATTTGTAGAACTCAATTGAGTTTTGCAAGTTTGCAGAATATCAAATCAATGAGTCAATTCTATTCCTAAGTGAAAGCAATGAACAAAGTTAAGATGATTCCAATCACAGTATCACCAAATAGAATACAATACTTAGGAAAAAAAAAGAACTAAAAGATCTGAACTTAAAACTATAAAACTGCTGAAATTAGAAAAATAAAAGTGAGACATGGCATGTTCATGAATTGGGAGACTCAATAGTCTCAAGATGGCAGTCTCAAACTGACCAATAAATGTAATGCAAAAATCCCAGCGAGCTTTTTCAGAGAAATTGATAAGATGATCCTAAAATTTATATGGAGCTGCAAGATTTATAATAGCCCAAACAGCTGTGCCAACAGAACACAGTAATTCTCACTGAGGAGTCAGTGAGTAAAAACCATCTCCATCGGTCATGTGTTTCCATATCCCCGGCTCATGGCCGTTCTGCTAGCAGCTAGACACCAGTGCAAATTGTCACCATCTTCTTAGTGACACCTCAATAACCATCATAGATGTGGTATAGGCAGAAATAATGCCGCTCTGCCAAAAAGATGTTCACGTCCCTGGAACCTGGGAATGTGTTACAGTACATGGCAAAAGGTATTTGCAGAGATGTTTCAGTTGATCTTAAAATGAGATTATACTTGACCCAATTATAGGTGGGTTATAGGTAGACCCAATCTAATCATATGGATCCTTAAAAGCAGAGAACTTTTCCAACCTGTGGTCAGACAAAGAAATGAGATACTCTATAGCTGGCCTTGAAGATAGAAGGAGGACGTAAGTCAAGGAAATCAAGCAGCGTCTACCAGGTGGAAAAGGTAAAGAAACATTCTCTCCTAGACTCCTCAGAAAGGAACACAGCCCTGCTGATGTCTTGCTGTTAGCCCTGTGAGAGGACCATCTCACACTTCTGACCTGCAGCACTATAGCATAATAAATTTGTGTTTTTAAGCCGTTGAATTTCTGGTAATTTGTTACATCAGAAATGAAAACTAATAAAATGAGATTTATACTGTTTTTGTTAACCTAGACATTTTTAAAACCAAATTAATGAAACTAATTTTAATTACTAAAGATAGAAATAGCAGATGATATGATACTATAGAGAGAGAACCCTAAAGAGTTTGCCAAAAATCTATTAGAACTGATACATGAATTCAGTAAAGTAGCAGGATACAAAATTAATATTCAGAAGTCAGTTGCTTTTTATACACCAATAACAAGCTGTCAGAAAGAGAAATTAAGAAAACAATCCATTTACAACTGCATCAAAAAAATACCTAGGAATAAATTAAACCAAGGAGGTAAAAGACCTTTACTTGGAAAATTGAAAGACATTGAAGAAAGAAATTTAAGAAAACAAATATAAATAGGAGCATATACCATGCTCGTAGATAGGAAGAATTAACATTGTTAAAATGCCCATACTACCCAAAGCAATCTGTAGATTCAATGCAATCCCTATCAAAATATAAATGGCCTTTTTCAACAGAACTAAAACAAATACTCCTAAAATTTATATGGAACCACAAAAGACTAAATACCCCAGCAATCTTGAGAATGAAGAACAAAGTTGGAAATATCACATTACCTAATATCAAACTACACTACAAGGCTACAGTAATCAAAGCAGCATGGTACTGACATAAAAACAGACATATAGATCAATCGAACCGAATAGAGATGCCTTTATAGTAATTTAATCTATGACAAAGGAGGCAAGAATATACAATGGGTGTAAATACAGTCTATTCAATAAATGATGTTGGGAAAACTGTACAGATACATGCAAAAAAATTAAACCAAACCACATTGTTAAACGATATACAAGAATAAACTCAAAATGGGCTTAAAGACTTACATGCAAGACACAAAACTATAAAACTAGAAGAAAACATAGGCAGTAAACACTCTGATACCGCTCTCAGTAACATTTTTTTGGATATGTCACCTCAGCCAAGGGAAACAAAAGAAAAATAAATGGGACTACAACCAACTAAAAAGGTTTTGCACAGCAAAGGAAACCAACAAAATGAAAAGACATACTGAATGGGGAAGATATTTCCTAATGACACATCTGATAAAGGGTTAATATCCAAACTATATAAAGAACTCATACAATTTAACACTGAAAAGACAAACAATCTGATTAAAACATGGGCAGAGGATCTGAATCGACATTTCTCTGAAAAGGACATACACATGGCCAATAGACATGTGAGAAGATACTCAATGTCACTAATCATCAGAGAAATACAAATTAAAATCACAATGAGATATAACCTCACACCTGTTAGAATGGCTATTATCAACTAATCAACAAACAACAAATGTTGGTGAGGATGTGGAGAAAAGGGAACCCTCGTGCACTGTTGGTGGGATTGCAGATTGGTGCAGCCACCATGGAAAATAGTATGGAGGTATCTCAAAAAATTAAAAATAGAACTACCATATGACTCAGCAATCTCACTTCTGGGTATTTATCTGAAGAAATCCAAAACACTAATTTTAAAAGACGTATGCATCTTAGCATCATTGCAGCCTTATTTACACTAGCCAAGCTATGGAAGCAACCTAAGTGTCCATCAATAAACAACTGGATAAAGAAGTGGTACATATATACAAAGGAATATTACTTGGCCATAAAAAAGAATGAAATCTTACCATTTGCAACAACATGAATGGACCTAGAGGATATTATGCTAAGTGAAATAAGTCAGAGAAAGACAAACACCATATGATCTCATTTATATGTGGAATCTAAAAAACAAAAATGATCAAACAAAGCAGAAACAGACTCATAGATACGAGAACAAACTGATGGTTGCCAGATGGGAGGGCACTTGGGTGGCTGGGTGAAAAAGGTGAAGGGATTAAGAAGTACAAATTGACAGTTACAAACTAGTCACAGGAATGTAAAGTACAGCATAGGGAATATAGTCAATAATATGGTCATAACTATGGTGTCAAGTGGGTACTAATCAGGGGAATCACTTTGTAAGTTATATAAATGTTTAAACACTATGCTGTACACCTGAAACGATTGGGTTGTCGGAAAAGTCATGATGTATTTTCTATGTTTTTCGTTGCAAAAATGTGTCATGACTTTTCCAACAACCCAATAATATAATACTGAATATCAACAGTAATTGAAAAATAACAAAAAAATGTAAATATATAAATATGTTTCCGGGGAAAACTTAATGAGCACAGGAGAAAGTTTTGATGGAAATATTGTTGATACTATAAAGAGAAATGCAGTGTTAATATTAGTGTAGTAACATAAAAATCAAATCACTCCATAGCTATATTTTACAATATTACAATTACTCACTCTTCCAAGGTGATTTTATTTCCTACAAATTTTTCCCCCAGAATGATTATCAGCACTTCGAGCACCACCCAATTACACTATACCTGTTGTTTAAACACTTCTCAATTAATAGATTGTGTATACTTTGACTAAATTAGTCATGTGACAAATTGAGATACTTACTCCCTGATATTTTGGAGCAAGAAAAGTGAATGTTGCTGTTGAAGAGCGAGGAAATAACAAATTAACTCTGCCTGTACTTGTTAAGGTAGCACTTAAGGGACTACCTATGATAAAATCTACACTCTCCACTTAGGAGAACACACACTACCACTATTCAGCTGCCCAAAGTAAAGAAATACTAGGTAACCATAATTTGACTCTCCCTATAATTCTCAGGGAAAGATGCCATTTGAAGATTATTTGTGTTTCAGAATAAAGCATTGATACAGAGACAGATAAAAATTTTTTAAATTTGTCTTTTTAATTCTTGAATCAGTGAGGACAATATTTTGCTGTTTATTGGTACAAAACAGCTCTGTCCTAGGTATACAGGGGTATACATAAGTCTGTAACATTATCAGCTACAGTGAATTTACTTTACTAGACAGCATAGCAAAGTAGGATTAACTAAAGGTATATTTTAATAAGAAAATGCTTTAAAATAACATGAAGTCAATGAACATTTGACTGTACAATTTACTCTGTCAAAATACCAGGGGTGCCAAAAAAATGTACACATTTAAGAGATGTAATCTATGCATTACTTTGAAGTTGAATTCTGGTGGCAATGTGTAGTATGACGTTCACTCAAAATATGGCGTTAATCAAATGAATGCTGGCGTCATTCATTGTATTACAATTTTAATATAGTTTTTTTCATTTCTTAAAATGTGTATGCATTTTTTTGGCACCCTCTGTATAAATGTAAGTCACCTTATGTGTGTGAATTACACTAAATCAGTCTCAACACAGCCGTGTTCTTAGGAAGGTGTAGAATAATTCATAAGCAATTCCCTAAGGGGTGTACTGAAAACTTCCAAAAGTACCCCAGATATTTGGTCATAGATAAGGGATAACTTTAAGGCAATCTTGCAAGTGAATGTAAACTTTTCTGAAGTAGACTTTCCAGGAAAGTATTACTGTTGTGAATTCTCTGTACTTATTTATAGTGCTGTTGGATACTTTTAGTAGCACATTATCACACTAATTGTCACTTTTTAAAAATCAGCTTAAAAATCCTGCAATTATAAAATGTCTGGGGTGCTTTCACTCTGTAGACATAAAGCAGGCACTTTCTGTTTTCTTATCTGCAAATGCTAAATATTTTCTTCTAATAACAGTTTTTATCTCTAGCTAGAATTGTATTTCTAATATACTAATTGTGTGCTAAATCCTATGTTCACATATTGAGAAATAATAATTTGCCTACAATTTGTCTAATTGAAATCTGAATGCAGAATTTCTTTTAATTGTTCCTTTTCTACAGAAGCGTTAAAATAAATAGTGCTACTCTTTGAACGTTTGTCAATATGATGACATTTTTCTGTCACACCTTTTTCCAAAGTAATTTTCAAAGCATGTGAACTAAACTGACTACACTGGAGAAGTGGATACAGGCCATTATGAGAGTCCCCTCGCAGTGACCAACTAGTTTCATTTAATCTCCTTCTTAGCCTTGTAATTGGCAGAGACCACCAGGTAATTATCCGGGTTCATGTCCTTAAGGGTTGGAGATTTGCTCTGGACGGGGGACGTTTTGCCATCCACACGGGAGATCTGCAGCATCCGGCAGGGGTCGTGTTTCAACAAATACCCCGCGAAAGTTTCCCATCCTCCTCCCACACGGACCATGACGTGTTTGTTGTGCAGCATCTGAAATGAGAGGAGAGCAAAAGTTTTCAATTATGAGAATTCTAACAGTATCTCACATCGACTTGCAGTTCTAGTCTCGTTACTATTTCCTGTCTTCTTCATGCCCTGTTGTTTTTCTGCTTGGTGCAGTGTATGAGTTAGCATATAGTTTGTGAAAGAAGCTTTGTTGTTTTTTTTTTTCCATGCCAGTAGATCACGGGTTCGCATCCCAGAAGCTGGCTTTGCCCTGCTATGTGAATCAGAGTCTATGTCCAACCCCTGGCTTGGCTCAGTGTGTCAGGAGACTTCTCTCTGACGCCTGATAGTCCATGACAGACTCAGCTCTGTCCCCGTTTGCTGCCTACTGTCTCGTATCAGTGCTTTGTTCTCCCCACCAGGTTATTCCCCTCTGAACCAGGACTTAAGAGACCATGGAAATGCCTGCTATTAAATATAATGCTAATAATCACACAAAACCTTGATACAAAATAGAATTGAAAATGCACTCAGAAAACATGAAGTCTTCCAAAGCAAGAGGTTATTGAATGGCCAGACATCTTTGTTTTCCTTTATTCTTATCCTTCCTAATTACTTTAGAATACACCTTTTTAAGAAAACTTACCTTTAGGCCCATGAGCCATGTAGAGCTCCAGGTTAACAAAGGCTACAGATTGAAAAAGTGAAGAATATATGGTTCTTCCTATCTGGTCAAAACAAGTCAGAGATGTGGCGGTTTGGTATTGGAGAGCCCAGGAATTTGATGATGCCTTCTTTCAAATATCCCAAAATGTAAAATTAAGGGAATGTTGCCCCCTCACCGAAGACCCCACTGACCCTCTCACCTGCCCACAATATTATGAAGACATACTGGCAGTGTAATCTTCAGAAGGGGATTTGGCAAGTTGTTTCCATTGCAGAGTCTGTCAAATATATTTTAATTCTTCTCACTCTGTGTCAGCTTGAGATCTGGATGTTTTTGACTCCCATCGAGTGGAGGATGGCTTGTGCTGTCACTGCCTTCCTTTGCTTGTTGAGAAGCTGATGAAAGTTTTGGAACCTCTGTATGCCTGTATATCCACACAATCTTGCATGTGTGTTTAGGGGTTTCACAGACTCCCCGAAATCCATCCATGGACTCACACTGAGAAGTCCTGAATCATGTAGTTGACACGAAACAGTTTTCCAAATCAAATATTGTGCAAAGTAATACAAATGTGCCAAATATCAATAATTAAAACTATTAGATTCATGAGAATTAAATGCAACTACTGTTTATTCTCATTTAGAGTATTAGAATTTTAAAACAGAGAAGTGCTTAGGAAACACCTTCTAGCCAGAAGACTTTAAACTTATTTTAGCATCAGAATCTATTCATTAAACAAGATCTCAATGGGTACCCATAAATAAAAGCAGTCAGGATTCAGCTTGCCTCCCCCAGTCCTGTCAGTGGTACCATGTTTGTGTTCTCTTAGATGAAGATGTGGAGGCCCAGATCTTTTATATGATTTTCTAGGAAAAGGACCCAGATTTTCTGACTCCCAGTTTAGTGCTTTTCCCATAACAGTGCAGTTCCTCCTTATAAAATCCATCAGCGCTTTTATAATTTCACTGGCCTATTCCCACAAGTTCCTGTGTGTGTGCATCTACTTCCTGCTTCCAAAACATGGAATTACTGAACAAAGGCCAGTGTCAGATAGTACATTGACCCTTCCCCTCACTGTTCCAGGGAGTGTTTTTGTCTGTTGTTGTGGAAGTCCGGGCACCTCTCAGCCCTGCAAATTGCATTGAAGAATTGTCTCCGAACATCATCGGTATGTATGCTTCTGGAAGAATGACGAAGTTCACTTGACTGGGAGGCTATTTCCACCAGAAAGAGCCACCAGTCAGACAAGATTTTAAACAATTAGTTAACTCTGGAAAACAATGAAAGAAATGTTTTTCCACCTGGAGTATACAATCATTTAAGCACAAACTCTGCTTGCAGATTCTTTAATGACTCCATAGCACCATGCAAAGTGGATCCAACATGAAACAGAGTCATACTGAATTTGCATAACACAGGAATTAAATTTCTGCCCAACTCCTCATCCATATCCCTCCTATAGCTAACCAGCAACCTATTTGCTAAGAAAGCCAGTGGACAAACTGAGCAGCAGCTTCAAGCATGGGATTAAGGTATCAGGGCTATTGGGATTTACAGCTCTGACTGTAGAGATGTAAATTCCGTGCCTTTCCTAAATATGTGCTTGGTCTCAAGAAAAAATTTAACACCTACCTTCATTTCCATAAACAAAACCCCTACTGTTTAACCTAAAAGCAAATCAACCAGCTATACACCAAATTATTCTCAACTTTTGCCTCCCTCCCCTCGGCAGTGCTTGCCCTACAAAACTCCAATCTTGAACCAAGTATATAATCTTCCTTCCAAACGAGGGCGACCTGCTCTGCTCTGCTGGAAGAACTCTTTCCATCCCCAGGATTAGTGACGTTAGGCCAACTGCAATTAATTGATCCGTTTTGTTTAATTAGCTCCATTTCCTATTCCTCTATTATTCCCAAACACACTACCCATCTCCAACCTCATCAGTCTACAGACTTCACCTTTATCAGGCCTGGCTTCCTCTCGCTTGGCACCTCCAATGTCTATTTTAATTCATTCTACATTTGCCCTTTTCCCCATTTTTCTCATCACAAAAAGAAGTCTTTCTAAGGTCAATTCCTCCCCCTGTTCCCTTATTCCCATTACCACTCATGCAAAACCTTGCTGCATTGAACATCCCGTCTCTCTCTCCAATTTATTGTATAGTGGTCCGTCACCTTCAGGAAATAAGCATACCCAAGCCTCTCCCACTCTCGGGCAAAGCAAAACTCTTTTCCTTCCATTCCAGTCTACTCTGTTCTCACACCTCGCCCTTATGCCATATTTCCTCATGTATAAGACGCACCCTTTTTCGAAAAATTTGGGGTCTAAAAACTGGGTGCGTCTTATACTGTGGTTCTGATTTTTTTACTTGCATTTCCTGCAAGTGATGAGGAGTTGTATGAATTTTATGATGAATAAAACTTGAGTTCAATAACTTTATGTAATACATTTTTTTTTTCAAATTTTGGGCCCAAAAATTAAGGTGCGTCTTATACATGGGAGCGTCTTCACGTCTAACTTCCTATTCACTGTCTGCCCTCATCTATTAACTGGCCGCATAGGGAAAGGGAACCAGATGGCTTCTAGAATTATCAACTCCAATGGGTGGTCCTTAATCCTTATCATTTTTGATCACTCAGGTAAGCTATCTGATAGAATTGACCATTTCTTCCTTGAAACTCCCTACTCCCTTATTCTCTGTGACAGGACTCTGTTCTAGATCTCCTGGTACCTATCTGATTGTTCTTTCTCTGACTCCTTCATAGGTTCTATTTCTTCCACCTATTCTTAAGTTTTGCTATTGTGAAGGATTCTGAAGGATTCTGTCCTTTCTCTTACTGCTTTTGTTACTCTAACCACTCTCTATTTGAAACCTCATGGTTTTCACCACCATCTACTTTTATCTCCCCAATTGTAACTCTAGCCCTTGCCTCTTCCTCAAACTTCCAAATGCCAAGACATACCAGTCCGTCACCTTCCACTGGAAAGCCTCACAATCCTTTCCTAGTAAGGCCGATGGAATGGGCATTATCTCTAACTAGTCAGATACCAAAAGCATTCATTTCCCTCCTAAATGTTTCTCAGGGTCTTTGTTATCATTTCTGTTATTTCATTCAGTGCCTCATCTTGTCCCCAGGCTGCTGTAAAGGTCCCATTGCCTCTAGCCTTGCCTTCTCTGATCCATTTAGTAAACTAGCACCAAAAGGAATTCCTTAAAATCAAAGTTTGTCTCCTGACTAAATATTTTCACTAGCTCCCTCCCTCCTGTAGGCTGAGATTCAGTTTCCCTTATGTACATACCGGGGTGCCAAAAAAAAAATGTATATACATGACTTGCATTCATCTGTTGTTATTGGTATATATTGAGTATTACAATTTTAATACAGTTTTTTTTCCCCTTTCTTAAAATGTGTATACATTTTTTTGGCACCCTCTGTATATTATTCTCGAAGACCAGCTCTGCAGGCCTCAACTGCCCTTTTCTGAGCTCTGGAGTTCATGAATTCTTTTAGTTCTATATTCCCAGAAAACATACTCTGTTTTTGCACATTTTTCACATTTGCCCCTAATTGTGGAATGTCCTTTCTGTTTTGCCCTCCCTACTTAGCAGGTCCACAAACCTTCCCCCAATTCAAACATCACCTCCACCTGAAAAACCTTCCACGATCATACCCCTCATCGGGTAAGTGAATGCTTCCTTGCTGTATGCTGTGTGGTATACAAACGATTTTATTGTTTCTCTCCTTCCACTGTATTGTAATTGCTAATTCACCAGTATGCCCCTTTTAATAATGTGTAAGCTCTCTGAAGAGAGTGATGACGTATTTCTCTTTTCTGGAATCTCACATATGGGAGCTCAAGACAATGTCAATTCTACTTCTGTTACTCCATTTTGTGTATACTTTCACAAGCTCTACTTACATTGCCTAACCTATATCGTTAACAGTATTACTCCTAGATAGAAAAACAATGTTCTTAGAATAACTGATGCTCTTAAACAACTTGCACAAGATCACACAACAAATCAGAGACAGAACTGGAACAAGCATTCTTTTTTCCATTATACCACACCCACTTATTTTGTAAAGTTCCTAGATTTGGATTTTCATATCTGCTTTAATTAAAATACTAATGATAATTTAGCACAGGCAGGGGGTCATCGATGTCAGAAATAGTAATAAGCAGCTTAAGCAAATTAAATGCTCATGTAAAATGAGCATGTTGTGTTCTAATAAACCCTAACTAAACACTGAATTTAATTTCAGAAGATTGTCCTTTAGTGGTCCTAAGTATTTCAGAAATAAACATGTGTCAAGTACAGGTAACAGGATAGCATATATTTCTCGTCCGGTATCTGCTGGCATAAGTAGGACGGGGC